AGTGTCGCCATGAAAGGCACATACCTACAGGAAATTGGACATCACACACGGTCATCTGCATTCTGTGCCCTGCAACACATATTGGTATTGGAAATCATCAGAAACAAGGGGCAAAGGAAACTGCTTTAAAGAGAAAGACAGTCTGGAAAGAAGGACAGAACTCAGAATGTCCACTATTTGTTATATTGGAAGACAAAAAAAAAAAAGATGGAGAGGATTCATACCTCCATCTCAAAGCCCAACATATGACCAGCATCTCATTACCCCAAGCAGATTCTACTTCTACTGGATTCTTAGACAGTGCCAAGCCTCCCCATCACAAAAGAGAAAAAAATGATAGCTCAGCTGCCTGTGGAAGAAAGATCTTCATGTTGGAAAAATTCACCTCAACACCCATGCCACATTCCAAAAACCATATTCAATAAGTTTGGTTATGATTATGTCAGTGTTTCCTATGCATCAAGGTATGAGTCCATGAGGAAACCTAGGGCTCTGGGGCCTAAGAAGTAAATTCAGAATAATGCAATAGATGTTTCATAATCCCTTATGTTTAGCAAGAGAATTAATGGGAAAGGATCATTAAGGTGTGATCCTTGGTATTAAGGAGATCATAGGCCAGAAATATGAATCAGACACTTTTCTTTGTTTATACAATTTATTTCCTTTATTGATTTTATTGAGCTATACATTTTTCTCTCCTCTGCTCCCTGCCTCTTCCCTCCCCTTTAACTCCTTCCCATGGTCCTCATGCTCCCAATTTACTCAGGAGATCTTGTCTTTTTCTATTTCCAATGTTTATTAGATCCATGTGTCCTCATTGTTGTCGAGGTTCTCTGGGATTGTGAATTGTAGGCTGGTTTTCTTTGCTTTATGTCTAAAAGCCACTTATTGGTGAGTAATTATGATAATTGTCTTTCTGGGTCTGGGTTACCTCACTCAATATGACATTTTCTAGATCCAGCTATTTGCCTGCAAATTTCAAGATAACATTTTTTTTCTGCAGTGTAGTACTCCATTGTGTAATTGTATCACATTTTCCTTATCCATTTTTCCGTGGAGGGGCATTTAGGTTGTTTCCAGGTTCTGGCTATGACAAACAATGCTGCTAGGAACAGAGCTGAGCACATGTCCTTGTGGTACAAATGAGCATCCTTTGGATATATACCCAAAAATGCTATTGCTGGGTCTTGAAGGTTGTTTCCTAATTTTCTGAGAAATTGCCATATGTTGAAATAGGAGCGGCAGGGCTGCGTCCCCGGCACCCGGCCACCCACATGGCTAGCTTATGCCCCGAAATAATTACACGGAAACTGTATTCTTTCAAACACTGCCTGGCCCGGCTAGTTCCAGCTTCTTATTGGCTAGCTCTTACATATTGTTCTAACCCATTTCTAATATTCTGTGTAGCCCACGAGCTGGCTTACCAGGGAGGATCTTAACCTGCGTCTGTCTGGAGCGGGAGAATCATGGCGACTCCATGAATAAGCTTCTTTCTCCCAGCATTCTCTTCTGTTTACTCCACCTACCTAATTTTCTGTCCTATGAGGGCCGAGGCAGTTTCTTTATTATTAACCAATGAAAGCAACAGATAAGATACAAGACCCACCTCCATCAGCCATACTGATATCCAAAGGTGCTGTATCAGCTTGCACTCCCACCAGCAGTGGAGACGTGTTCCCTTTACCCCAAAACCTCTCCAGCATAAGTTGTCATCAGTGTTTTTGATCATGGCCATTCTTGCAGGTGTAAGATGGAATCTCAGTGTTGTTTTGATTTGCATTTCTCTGATGTCTAAGGATGTTGAACATTTCCTTAAGTGTCTTTCAGCCATTTTAGATTTCTCTGTTGAAAGTTCTCTGTTTAGGTCTGTATTCCATTTTTTTTATTGGATTATCCATTCTTTTGACTACCAATTTCTTGGGTTCTTTGTATATTTTGAAGATCAGCTCTCTGTCTGCTGTGGGGTTGGTAAAGGCATTTTCCCATTCTTAGGCTGTCATTTTGTCTTTTTGACCATGTCCTTTGTTTTACAGAGCTTTTCAGTTTCAGGAGGTCCTATTCATTGTTGTTTCTCTCAGCAGATACCTATCTTTAGAGCTAAAAGACTGTATGAGTTAAGAGACAGACAGGAAGATACATTCACTGTTGAAGACCAAATAAAGAAACAGGTGCCTGATAAAGGAGAGTCTAGGAAAGGTTTCTTGAGAAACCAGACATGATATCGCTATTTTATTTCTTTTTCTATGAACTGAAGATAATAGTCACACCTATGTCAGAGCATTGTGACATCACAGCTGTTTATTACTCATTAGCTCCTTTCAGCTACGGAGAATGCCCTTGGAGGGTGAGAAACATCACATGGGTGATGGATGAAAGCAACTTGGAATCACAAAGAAAGGCAATATCTGATTTCATGGCCAAGGAGAAAAGACCCAGAGATCTGAAGGTATCAGAGCTAAGAGTATGCCCAGGGAACAGGAACCATTCTCTGGGTAGGGAAACAAAAACATCACATAGATGAGGCTTTCCAAAGAGTATGAAGAGGGCCTTGAATGTCAGTCTGGAGAATGGACAGCAGCTCTTGGCATTTACCCAAGCTTCCATTATAAGAAATAAGGCAATCATCCAGATCATCTTAACCTGGCAAGGCTGACAGATGGGCCGGTTCTGAAAGTGCTGTCCCCAGTCTGCTATTAGACTGAATACAGTCTTCGAAGCATCAAAATTGTAAGTTTTCAATAGAAACAGGCAAAGATATTGATCAGCACTTCCTTTTGTACCTTATGACTACCAGACTGGACAAATGTCAGCTGCATTTGTCTGAGAATCTCTGTCTCAGCCTCACTCAGCAGGATAAACATCAGACAGACTGAGCAATTCAAATGCCAGAGAAAGCCTTTAGCTGTTGGTGCAGAGTACTTTGGAACAAGCACAAAACTCACTCCCAGGCTGACTTTTCTTTGCTGGGGAAAAATAATACTTAGGAGACCCAATATCATGGTGCAAGAGTCACGAAACGAGTGGTGAATGACCATGAGGGTGAGTCTGTGCCCATGCTATCTGAGGAAGAAAGGGTCAGGGAAATCAGGAAGAGCTATAGCAGCTGAAGAAGGGTTTGCAGAGACGAACAACAGGAGATGGAAGGACATCAACGAAGTGAGAAGTCCCACTCATGTATTAATGAGTGTGTATCGAACACTTGCTATGCTCTGGATACTGCCCAGAGCTTAATAGCAGACATGGCAAAGTCCCCATCACACTATTGTGTTTAAAAATAAATAAGGGAGACATGAAATAAATGCAAAAGAAAAGAGTGAGTATATGATATACAATGTTACACAGTAAGTACTTCGGTGGAAAATGATGTAAGGTCAAAGGAATAAAAATATACTATAGATTGAACAGTCAGGATGTCACTATTAATCTTCCAGGGATTCCCCAACCAAATAAAACCTGCTGGTGGCTTGAACAACAGAGATTTATGTTCTCGCAGTTCAGAAAATTGGACATCCAGCATTAAATCCTTTACTTCCCAATATAATCTCATTTTTAGCTTCTGAGGCTGCAGTTTCAACATATGAATTTGGAGAAGAAGGACTAGGTCTACCCATAGCTGTCGGGTTTGTTTGTCTATCTGTTCTCTGTGGTGGTGGGGATATTTGAACAGAGACCTAAATGCCATGTTGGGGTAAGCCATGGAGCCGTGAAAACACCCAGAGCAAATCGCCACTAACTGGGTTCCGGATTGTGGGGCAGCTAGGAAAGTGAAGGCAGCTAGCAGGAGGTGACACTGGGGAGGTCATCAGAGGTCAAACTATGCACAACTTAGAAGCCACATCAAGTCAAAGTTTGGGGACTTGGGCAGAGAACGATTGAGATGGTTTTGATCAGGTGAGGTGTGCTCTGACCTGTATCTAAACGGGCGCTCTGGATTCTAAGTGAGAGCATGGACGAAGAGTGGTACCAGCTCGGCAACTGTAGTAGATCAAGTGTGGTTGTCCAGCTCGGCAACTGCAGTAGATCAAGTGTGGTTGTCCAGCTCGGCAACTGCAGTAGATCAAGTGTGGTGGTCCAGCTCGGCAACTGTAGTAGATCAAGTGTGGTGGTCCACCCGAGCGTAGAGAGCAGGAGGAGTATTTCTAGTCCACGTTCTCTCCCCGGCATCCAAGCAAGTATTAAACAATCAACCTCAGATAGAATTAGAACCATCTTCACCATCGTTCCATTCAAGAAGAGAAGGCCAGGGGCAGGAGACATGGATCAGTAGTTCAGTGTGTTGGGTGCTCTTGCAGAAGTCCCAGCACCAGCAAAAAGCTTCACAACTATCTGTAATTTACCTATCTGTGGAATCCTATGTTCTCTTCAGAGCATCAGACGTGTACGTAGTATTCATATATTCACATATATTCATAAAAAGCACTCAAAACATATAAAGTAGAAAATAAGTAAATCTTTAAAAAAAAAAAAAGACATTCAAGTCAACAACTGACTCACCAAAAAGCTAAACTACAGACATTCTGTGTGAACTCCAATCTTAAATCACCTCAATTCTTAAATCTTAAATCAAGTCTTTAGATGTGCACTACTATGAACTGAGTGTGTGTCAAATTCCCCTCAAAAGAATCTGTTGAAACTTCCATTCCCAGAGTGATGGGATCTGGAAATGGAACTTTTGTTATGTGTTCTAGTTTCCTTTCTAAGATGATAAAACCACCCTGACCAAAAGTAACTAAGGAAAGGAAAGGCTTTGTCTGGATTTTACTTCTAGGTCATGGCCCACCGCTGAGGGACACCAGAGCATGAATTCAAGCAGAGCTGGTTGCCTCTCTCAGGTTTATGCCTACCTAGCTTCCTTAAGTAGCCAAGAACTACCTATCCAGGGAATGGTGCTGCCCACATTGAGCTAGGCACTCCCCCATTAATTAGCTGTTGAGACAACTTCCCCAAAGGCACACCAATCCAAGTCACTCTGAACCAGGGCAGGCCCTCAATTTATGACTCCTTTCTTAGGTAAGCTGTGTAAATTTGACAATTAGCACTAACTAGGTCAATAGGAATATTAGCTATTATTCTCATTATTATGATCAAATACCTGAGGAGAAGCAAGTTAGAGGCAAATGGATTTATTCTACCTTATAATTCAATGGGATATAGTCCATCATGGTGGAAAGGACTAGCAGTGTAGAATTTTGAAAGTGAAAAGGAAATTGGACCATGAACCACTGCCTTCAGTGAGCATCCACTTCTTAAAGGTTGTACAGGTTACTAAAACAGTAATATCAGTCAAAGACAATGTGTTCCCATACATCCAACCATGAGGCGTATTTCACACTCAAACCACAATATTCATATTCACCCCTGGTCCCCACTGACTCAAGTCTATCTCATAATGCAAAATACATTCATTTCAACTTCAAATGTCCCTACAACTTTTGGTAATGTCAACACTTTTCAAAAGTTCAAAATCCTTCTTGAGACTCAAGGCAAGCTCTTGACTGTGAGACCCTACAAAGAAAAAAAAAAACAAATTACATAATTCTAATATAAAATGTCACAGATTAAATATTTCTATACCAAAGTGGAATAATGTGGCCACAGCGGGAAAGACCAGATCAAAGCAAGACCAAAATGCAGCAGTGCAAACACCAAATCCACAGTTGCATATCCTGCATATGGAGCTTGTGCTGGAATCATCTGGGCCCCAAAAGATTTGGGTAGCCCTGTTCTTTCAGCTCTGATGTATATAGCACACCATATACAGGGTTTTCTTGGGGACCACCGGCTCCCCAGTAAATGACACAGAGACTTATTACTAATTATAAATGCTTAGTTGATAGCTTAGGCTTATTACTAACTAGCTCTTACAATTCAAATTAGCCCATATTTCTCATCTATGTACTACCACATGGCTTGGTAACTTTTTTCAGCATCTCCTTCTTCCTCTGCCTCTCCTAGAGACTCCCACACCCTTCTTCCCAGCATTCTCTTAGTCTGGCTCTCACACCTAATGTCTTCCTTTCTAGCTATTGGCCAGTTGACTCTTTATTAAGCCAGTAGAACAAAACATGTTCACAGTGTACAAAAGGATTATTCCACAGCAGCACACAAAGCCTCCCTTTGAGGCCACTTCCGCTGTAATCCCTCAGCTTTCCTAGGCAGATGTCTCATGGTCTTGGCATCCTTAATATCTCCAGGAACCCACTATAACTCCATCTTTCCAATTTCATGCATCAGTCTCTTGATGTCTCTTTGATATCCAATCTTGCCATGCATTATCCAGCCTCAGTAGCTCTCTGAAACTTCATGATGGTTGATGAATCTGAAAATGCTTTCCTAATCAATGTATTCTGAATAGGGAGCCCCTTCACCCTCATTCTCATTTCAGGTACATTTGTCTTTTAACAAATTAGAGGCATCAATGAGTAAGGGGTCCTACCCTCATGGCATCTTTTCTCTCTGGCCTATACAGAACAAATTTCTCTTTAACTGTTTTAACCTTTTTCTCAACATGCTTTTTGGCTACAACTTTAAACTTTCATAACCTACAACAAACTATAGTTTTTACAACAAACTACAGTTTTTTACATTTTCTGTTCCAACATCATCTCTATGGTATACCTGAATCAAAATGGTGAGCAATAACCACTCCATAGCCTGATTGCTACCCTGCCTTAAAATCTCCCCCCACTACACAGCCTAGTCCATTATTTTAAATTCAACATCATTCAAGCTCTTGGGACATTGGTTTCTTGAATAAACCAGACACAGATTCTTTGTTAGGATATATACAGAATGACCTCTAGTGTATTTCCCAATGGCGTCCTTGTTCCTATGAAATCTCAAAAGCCTGGCCAACACTGCCTGAATTCCTTCAGTTTCCTAGTTTTCCAGACAACTCCCATCGAACTAGTCCACTGACCTCTGCTTATAGCATTTGAGTGCCTAGCCCAAAATTCCAAACTCTTCCATGTTCCCTCTTTAAATCAGTACAGAGACCTAAGAACCACATGGGGAGAGAGTGGTTATTAAGCAATAGGCCACTTTCCAGCACCAAGTTTCTGCAGTAGATATTTTTCTGAGTGCTGTGGCCAAATTCTGACAAGAAGCAAATTAAAGGCATTGTGGTTTATTCTGGCTTGCAGTTTGACAGGATTCATTGCAAGATGGTATGATGTGGGAGTGTCATATATCAATCTGTTGATTTCATTGGTTAAGCAATAAAGAAACTCCTTGGCCCTGATAGGTTAAAACATAGGTGGGAGGAGTAAACAGAATAGGATGCTGGGAGGAAGGGGAAGTGAGCTCAGACTTGACAGCTCTGCTCTCTGGAGCAGAGACGCCAGGCTCTGCTCTCCCAGGCAGCTCCGACCCAGGATGGACGTAGGCTAGAATCTTCCAGGTAAGCGCACCTTGGGGTACTTACACACATTATTAGAAATGGGCTAGTCCAGGTGCGAGAATTAGACTAGAAGAGGCTAGATAGAAATGGACCAAGCAGTGCTTAAGTTTGTGTGTTGTTATTTCGGGGCATAAGCTAGGAGGCGGCCAGGGTGCTGGGGACGCAGCCCCGCCGCTCCTATTTCAACAATGGTAGAAAATCATGCAGACAAAAGTCAGCTGGTTGCCTTTTATCAGAAGTCAGGAAGCAGTGGGTGGACAAGAGATGAACAGGTCTATATGTCTCAAGGTCCACCCTCAGTGACCAACTTCTTTCAGTGAGCCTCTACCTCTTAATGGTTCCACAACCATCCCAGTATTCCCATCTGGGGATCAAGTGCTTAGATGCATAAGTCTATGGAAGATATTTTACCTTCAAAACACAATAGTAGGTAGTTATGTCATGAGGGTAGGGTCCCCATGATTGGGATCAGAGCTGTAGAAGGAGGCTTGAGAAAAATTTGTAAAAGATTCATTGTAATTCTCTCTCTCTCTCTCTCTCTCTCTCTCTCTCTCTCTCTCTCTCTTTCTCTGTCTCTCTCTTTCTCTCTCTCCCTGTGTGTGTGTCTGTTTGTGTGTCTGTGTGTGAGAGAGAGAGAGAGAGAGAAAGAGAGTGAGAGAGAAAGAGAGAGAGAGAGAATACATTAAGATGACAATCATTCCAGATAAGTAATAGAATCCTCAGCACCCTAATTTTAAATTTCATAGCTTCTGGACTAGTGAAAACAGATGTTTATTGTTAAACCCAAGAGAAATATTCTATTTTTATTATGGAATCCAAACTGAGCAGGACACCTATCAACTTCACTCAGTTAATGATAAGATACATAAGGGGTGTATATGGGCTTCCCCTTGATTTGAAGCAACCTCTGTGATTTAAAAGCATAGCAAAGCAAACATTTCCACTGTCAACTCTTAATTAGACACTATTAGAGCAGAAAATTTGTGAGTAACTCAAATACCTAATTTTTTCTATTGCATTAAACAGACTTCCCCATCCTTTCAATGTATTTATCTCTCTTGACCTAATTTATGTCAATATGTTAAAATTGTCGTTCAAGCATAAGGAACAGTAAATGTCTCTTGCCAATAAATAATGCAACCTGAATAATCCCCCTGGAAAATTTCTAGCATTTGGCATTCTTTAAACACAATAATCAAGATAATTCACAGTTGGGTAGAACTTCCTAATTTTTAGCTTACCCATCATTTTTCCTATTTATTGCCCAGTGATGTTCAAGGGACTCATAATGGCGTGTCTTCCTCTTTGTGCTAATGGGATTCCTGTTGGTGACAGAAGGTTCAGCCTTTAAACAAGATGGTTCATCTCCACAGCGACGCCCATACCTCTTTCCTAGCTGAAGTTAGCATTTAAGAGCAAACAGTACCTGTATTTGTTCTCGATTTTCTGACCTCTCTTCAGGTTCTGAAATCTATTCATTGTGAATCAGTTGAACCACGTGGCTATTTCAACCTCTGCCTCTGATGAGACGTGATGTGGGATTTCCCTTTGTATGCTGTGAATATGATTGCTTAATTAATAAAGAAAACTGGCTTGGCCTGATAGGGCAAAAGAATAGAGGTAGGCAGGAAAAACTAAACTTCATGCTGGGAGAAAGAAGGGCAGAGTCAGGGAGACACCATGTAGCCATGCTGGAGACAGATGTCAAAACTTTAGCCGGTAAGCCACAGCCACGTGGGGATACACAAATCAATAGAAATGGATTAAATTAATATGTAAGAGTTAGCCAATAAGAAGCTAGAGCTAAAAGGCCAAGCAATTATTTAATTAATGCAGTTTCTGTGTGATTATTTCCATTCTGGGAGGCCAGGACAAACAAATGCCTCCTTACTACAAATTGGTGCACCAATGTGGTGGACTAAATCCACGTAAAACCTAAGAGGGCTTGGAAAGAAATTCTAGATTTTGGTACAAAGTGGCTGGGAACTACCTAGCAGCCTCCTTACTACAGAGGCATCCTAAAGTATTCTGTGGGAATGAGGGGCAGCCAACTGAAGGAAGCCATGATACTCTAGTCAGCTTCCCCAGTGGCTTGTCTACCTACCTAGCTACTATCTTTTTTATATTGCATTCAACACCAGTGAAATGACTTTGGAATTTGGAATTAATAGTTATGTTATATAAACAAAAACTCTAAAATCCAAGGGAAAATAATTTTAATATCCAGAAAGAAATTAGCCAATTGACTCTAACACAATTAAGAAAAGATGCAAATAATTATAATTGGGCCATATTAGAAGTGCTTTCTTTTTAGATTATTTTTTATGTGTACCTGTATGTAACTGTATGAGTTTATGTTTACCAAAGGCATACAGTTGCCTTCAGGAGTCAGAAAAGGACATTGCATTCTTTGGAACTAGAGGGAGAGACACTTGTGAGCCATCCAGTGTGCATGCTGGAAACAGAACCAGGGTCTTCTGCAAAGCTGTATGTAGTTTTAACCACTAAGTCGTTGCTCTGGACCCTGGGATTCCTTCAGAATTTGACTATAAGATGTTTAAATTCCTTTTTTTTAATTAAAAAAATGCACAGTCTCAACTGAATAGGGTTAAAGATTTTTCTTGAGTGTCCAGGGTTAACTTGACTATACCTTATCCTAAATGATGAGGGTCATATGACTATCACCCTTAGAGTATGGCAATTATGACAAAGACCAATCTCCATTGAGAAGATTTTGTTGTTAATAAAAATCTAGTCAATTTGGGGACCAAAACAGTTTGTTATAAAAATTTAAATGACTGGAAATGTCTCTACCCAATTAGTTTATGGTGCTATGACTAGCTATCTAGTAGATAAACGTCTTTACAACAGTTATTTACACTGACGTTTATAGTTTAAAAAAATCACACTTTCGATATTTGATCATCATGGAAAGGAAGTTTAGGGAAACAGTAGGGAAGTTTTCCATAAACAGAAATAATCAGTAGGCATTTACACAGAATGTAGGGATATAGCAAACAGACTTGGCAACCTATAAGTTTTAATGGTTCTGTTTAAACTCAAAATAAAATTCATGGGCTGGGAGCCGATCTGAAATGTCCGAAAAGGCATCTAGGAGTAATTGAAACTTAGATGAAATGGCAGACATTTGGTCAGTTCAACTTGTAAGGCAATTTGGACTCTGGTGAAATTTGTAACTTTAAGAATTTGAGCCTTTGAGAGTAGAGGGAAAATGTCATTTTGAAATGACTTGTACTTCAGTGCTTCCACTAGGGCCTTGTTCTCCTCAACCTTCATTTGCTTAATGAACGTTTCGTGGTTCTATGTGTTAGATATGTCTCCTGCCTTCACAGCCTAACTTTACGACTTGACAAATTCAGGCCATTCAGTAAGAAAATCACGCACATGTTAAAGTGAAATGGCAACCTCTGCACTCGACCAAAGGTTAACAGACCCACACTGCATTAGCCCACTAGTCTATTCCATGTTATGGGTTGAGACTCGGATTTTCAGGTAAGAAGGATGGATTTTGTAGGGGGGACAGATACAGGTCTTTGGGGGACAGAGGGTGAAATGTGATATCCTAAAGAGTAACAATCTCTTTATGATATGTCCATGCTCTAGCCTTGTCTACATTATTCTAAATGGCAAAACAGAATGTATAGCAGAGGCTAAGATTGCAAAACATGAGGCTGGGGAGGCTATCATGGGCTATCTGGTGGACCCAATCTAATTACAGAAGTCCTTGAAGGGAGTGAACCTCTTCCAAGGATGCTCAGATCAAGGGGGAGGCAGATCTGAGAGGTGCAGTGGAGAAGCAGCAGCCACAAGCCAAGGAATTTGACAGTCTTGGGAAGCTAGAAAACAACAAGAGCCTACCCTGGTGGGACAGGATTCAAGGTGTCAACAGCCTCCGGAAATGGAGCTCGGTGGATCCACACTGTGATGTGAGCCTGATCAGTTGCATTCTGGACTTCCGAGCTACAAAATCATTTATTAAAAAGTGTGTTATTTAAGCCATAGAACACTAATACATCAGGCCGGGAGACTAAAGAAAATATCAGTTTTCCTCACCTGTAGAATGAAGATAAAGGTATTGAGAGGATTGTCAAAAATTGGTCGTGATGATGATAGACGTGATGTGTTTAGTTCTACGGCTCTCAATAGGCTACTTTAGCATAGGCTGCCTTGTTTTGTTTTCCGTTTTTTAATGGATTCACTAAAGAACTTTTTAAAGGAGGAAGAAGAAATACTTCTTTCCCCAGTGCATAGAAGGCCTGTGCTTTTGTCCTAGGCCTAGTACCAACAAGTTATCTCTGAGCTCAGGCAACACCTATCCCCTCTCTGGGCTGCATTTTCAAAATGAGGGATGTGAGCTAGAAGATTCATTGCTAAGGGCACCTCCTTCCCTGACACAGCTGAATAATATGAAAACCATAAAACTTGTGCATTCAGGTATGAAGAAGAAAGGTATGATAACGAGGATTCAATTCAATATTCAGAACTGAACAGCTTTCTGAGAAAGCAGCAGGCTTGTGCTGGCTGGTTCCACAGCAGCTGTCCCGGTCTGTGAAAGTGTAGGAGCTGTACCCACCTTCAAAAACCTCCAGGACCCAAACTGCCTGGCATTCAGATCACACAGGAAGCCCTAGGAAGTCAGCCCACCATGATCCCTAGGATAAACCCAGATGTCAATCAGGACACTTAGAGAATAAAGCAGAAATAAAAGCCCCCATTTAGCTGCACCTGCAGACCCTCTGCAACACAGGGCAACAACAAGGTATCTAAAAGGAGACCCAGTGAGAGCCCACCAGCAATAGTGTAACAGAAACAGAGGCCTCGAACCAGACAAATGACTCTTTGCAATGAGCACTTGCAAGTAAAGAAACATGCACAAAGGGTTTAATGCATGACTCGCTGGGTCCATTACAGCTTCCAGGACAAGATTTTTCCTTTTTTTCTCTCTTAAATTTATTTTATGTGGTGGGGGGTGCACAGACAGAGGGAGGATATGAAGGGACAGGGAATGAAATGGAAAGAGATGCATGATATGAAAGACACAAAGAATAAACGAAAAGAAAGTTTTTTTAAGGCCCCACTTTGAAGCAGCTGACAAGTGGCCAAACATCTGGAGCTATTCTCTGCTACCGTCTAAGTGTAACTGGGGGAAATGGGTGGAAAAACCATGAGAGGAAAGGAGTCTGGGCTCACTGAGTGGAAAAAAAATTGTGGCTGCAGTGGAATATTTCTTTCTAGTTTATCAAAGGATAAACATTTCCCCCTTGGGAATCTATGTCAGTCCCAAGCTCTGATGTAATGTGATCTGGTCCAAGCAAAAGTAACTTCCTCACTGTGAGCCCGGGATAGCTGAAGGGGTCCTGATGCTTCCGAGGGGAAGTCTTTTCTACCTAAGCTTTCTACCCCACTCCACTCACAACATTTTAACATTGCTCTGTTGTTGCTTTTGTAACAAACACCACTAGAGCTCAGTTGTGCTATAGAGAAACAACATGGATCATGAGACGAGGATTAAGATGGAGGGATATAGTGGAGCCTTTGGTCGTTTATCACCACTTTGCCTCCCCTGGAAAGGGCGTGCCCTTCCACATCCCCATTTACTCAAACCTCTGAGCATCTTTCAAAGGAATCATAACTTTAATGAGCTGACCCTGGAGGGAGTTATAAACTAAGTCATTTTTATTCATGAGCAAAAGGAAATTATTTCATAATAATATTAGTAAAAATGGGTAACTTGGGTTTTTTATTTTTTATTGATTTTTATTGAGTGCTATATTTTTCTCTGCTCATCTTCCTGCCTCTCTTCTTCCCTTCAACCTTCCCCCAAAGTCCCCATGCTCTGAATTTATTCAGGAGATCTTGTTTTTTATTACTTCCCATGTAGATTAGATCTATGTAAGTCTCTCTTAGTATTTTCATTGTTGTCTAAGTTTTCTGGGATTGTGAGTTCTAGGCTGGTTTTCTTTGCTGTATGTTTGAAAACCACCTATAAGTGAGTACATGTGATAATTGTCTTCCTGTATCTGGGTTACCTCACTCAAAATGATGTTTTCTAGCCCCATCTATTTTCCTGCAAATTCAAGATGTTGTTATTTTTTCTGTTGTGTTTTACTCCATTGTGTAAATGTACCACATTTTCCATATCCATTCTTTGGTCAAAGGGCATTTAGGTTGTTTCCAGGTTCTGGCTATGACAAACAATGCTGCTAGGAACAAAGTTGAGAATATGTCCTTATGGTACAATTGAGCATCCTTTGCATATATACCCAAAAGTGGTATTGCTGGGTCTTGAGGAAGGTTGTTTCCTAATTTTCTGAGAAATCACCATACTGATATCCAAAGGGGCTGTACCAACTTACAATCCCACCAGCAATGCAGAAGTGTTCCCTTTACCTCACAACCTCTCCAGCATAAGTTGTCATCAGTGTTTTTGATCTTGGCCATTCTTACAGGTATAAGATGGAATCTCAGTGTTGTTTTGATTTGCATTTCTCTGATGACTAAGACCTCAACATAAAGCCCACCACACTGAACCTCATAGAAGAGAAAGTGGGAAGTACACTTGAATGCATTGGCATGGGAGACCACTTCCTAAATATAACCCCAGTAGTACAGATACTGAGAGAAACAATTAATAAATGGGAGCTCCTGAAACTGAGAAACTTCTGTAGAGAAAAAGACATGGTCATCAAGAAAATGTCAGTCTACAGAATAGGAAAAGATCTTCACCAATTCCACATGGGACAGAGGGCTTATCTCCAGAATATGCAAAGAACTCAATAAATTGGTCATCAAAATAACAGATAATCCAAAAAATATAGAGTACAGACCTAAACAGAGAACTCTCCACAGAGGAATCTAAAATGGCTGAAAGACACTTAAGGAAATGCTCAGCATCCTTAGTCATCAGAAAAATGCAAATCAAAATAACTCTGGGTAACACATTTTTAATCATACAATTGTTTGTTTGGGTTTTCGAGACAGGATTTCTCTCTAGCTTTGGGAACTATCCTGGAACTAGCTCTTGTAGACCAGGCTGGCCTTGAACTCACAGAGATCTGCCTGCCTCTGCCTCCCAAGTACTGGAATTAAAGGCATGAGCCACCACTGCCTGATGGAGGAAGGTCATTGGTTAAATAAAGAAACTGCCTTGGCATGATAGGATAGAAAATTAGGTAGGCGGAGTAGACAAAACAGAATGCTGGGAGGAAGTGAGGCAGACGCCGTGCTGCTCCTCTCCGGGGCAGACACGATGAAGCTCTGACCCAAGATGAACGTAGGCTAGAATCTTCCTGGTAAGCTACTGCCTCGTGGCGCTACACATTATTAGAAATGGGTTAGTCGAGGTGTGAGAGTTATCCAAGAAGAGGCTAGATATAATTGGGCCATGCAGTGTTTAAAAGAATACAGTTTCTGTGTTATTATTTCGGGGCTTAAGCTAGCCAGGCGACTGGGAGCTGGGCGGCGGAAAGCGGCCCGCAGCTCCTTCAACAACTGCCCAGCTCTTTATTTTCTGATATGTACCTAATGAGTTCCAGGCATTTCCACCCATTATTTTCCCTCATCCCCACTCCCTCTTCTGATGAGCCCTTTCTTCTCAGTAAGTCCCCTCCACATTTCATTTACATTTTTATAAATATCAGATTCGTTCTTTGACAATTGAACCTGTACAGCATGCACTCTGTTACCCTAACCGCCTAGCCACTCCAGACATCCTCCCACCCACATTTTGAAAATATTTCTTCATGATGTGCAGTGGAGCAGGATTGGAGTGGATAATACTATTGCCCGAACCTCAGAGAAGTCAAGCAACTTGCACAAGCTCACAGAACCATCAAACTGCAGACCCAGACTTCAGCTTCAGGTTTGCATAACGAAAATCCTGTAACCGTTAGCTAGATTCCTTTCAACCTACTTGTCTAAATTCTTTTTGTTTTCTTGATCAGTTCATCCAAATGACAAATGAGTTGCTTCCACATTTGTATGTTGGTTTCCTCGTGTATAAACTGGAGCAATGATGGTGCCTTTCTCACAATGTATTCATGAGGCTTAAATAAGACAGTTGGGAAGTCTTTAGACATGAATCCTAGCATTTCAAGAGCAGTTAGTGGGAACTCGTCCCAGTGACAATGACCACAGTCCTGATGGCTGTGAGCTACTGACCACCTCAACCTCAAAAGGCAGAGATTTTGGTCAAGATGTACCCACTACTAATGGAAGGGCACAATTCAGTCCTTGACTTTGGCTCATAATTCAGCTCTTTGCTAGGTTCCCAATGTGGTTGCTTCATCCTGGAAATCTTATGGATAAGAAGCCCTTTGAGAAGGAAGAAACAGGGAGAAACCAGGGAATCACTCCCAGGGCAGGTAATGAATCTGCGGCTGGGTCTTACCAGCCCTCATCAGCAAGCTGCAGGATCTAAATCCATGGCTCCTGGGAGGCTGGAGCAGACGTGGCATTTCTTGCAGAGTTAAAGTCTTTAGGGTTCTGTTGGCCATCACTGAGTCCCAAAGTCGTGCTTTGGATCTCATCTGCTCGCTTCCAGCCAGCTTTCCATTTGTGCTATTTGGCTGAGCAGCTCCAGAGTTTCAGAGACTGGAATGTGCAGATTATTGTAATGCCTTTAGACCCAGAAGCATTTCTTAACGGGAGACTGAAGGCTGGCAGTTGCTAAGAGGTGCACATGGCTCCCATAGGCCTGCTTTGGATTAGTATCCTGTGTGCTTCAAATGTCATCAATATGCCCTGCAGTAGATAATTTGACTGGCAAGATCTGGAAAGGTTTGGGACATTAATACTCTCCGTCCATAAAAAAAAAAAAAAAAAAAAGTTTACGTAAGATCTCTGGGAAACAGAAGAATCCCCCTCCTCATTTTCTAAAATGCCATGCTTTCTTTACAGCAACTCCTTGCTTTTGTAAAATTTAGATCATAATATCACCCAAAGCCTTGGGTGCCAGGAGCC